AAAAGATGCTTTTAACAGAGTCTGAACCTATTTCTTAAACAAACACTTGTAACCTACCTGTTGAGCATCACAGAACGTGATAAAGAAATGAACCTGCTTATCAACTTCCTAAATATGTGTGAGATGCTGGCTTGGGCAGCATCCCCTTGAACTTTTCACTCTTCAAATGCCTGACTAGGGAGCCATGTTTCACAAGGTCTTTAAGATGACTAATGGCATGAGAAATACAAAAATACTCAGATAAAGTAAAATGTCATGATGCCTCTCACTTCTGGAGTGAGAAGTGTCTTCTGGAGGGGTCATGTGACTGGTTTTCACATTAGAAGACAATTGACAACAGTTATGTAATTCACTCTGAGTGTATTATGAGAAGGGCTTCTTTTGGGGGTCAACAGTTTTCCTATGCCTTGAAACAGAAAGAAAAATATGTACCAAGAATCTTGGTTTGCCTTCCAGAAAACAAAACTGCGTCTCACTTTCCCGGTGTTCCCCACTGTATCTAGGCAACATAGTATTCATGACTATGGGATAAACTAAGTAAACATGTGACACAAACACACACAAAAGGGAACCTAGCTCTAATACATTCCAACTCTTATAGCATGCATCTGTTTATTCTATAGTTAAGTTCTTAAAAATGTAAAGCCATGCTGGAAAATAATACTGCTGAGATACATAATTACTGTAACTGATATTACACTTGGTAATTGTACTAAGGCCAAACATATATATATATATACTATTAAAAAGGTTTACAGAATTTTATGGTGCATTATGGGGGCATTGTCTTTTTAGATGCCCAAATCCTTAGATCTGGCATGTTAGCCCTTCCTCCTATTATAAGAGGATATGAATTGAGTTTTTCTTTTGTTGTTTGTTCTTAGCTGTAATTCCTATGCTTCTATTTCAGAGAGCCAGGAAGAGTTTGATATTAAAGGAGGTTAAAACTGTGATCTTATGCCATGTCATCAATGGCTACTTAGGGGCCGTGGCTGATGACACATTCGTATCTCTACAGTACTAATTTGTTTTTATAGAGCCATGCATTTTATTTCTGAATAAGAACATATTTAAACTAATATTCCCTTACAATACAGACAGTATTAATCCTTCCAAGATGCAATATTTATCAAGTGAAGCATATTTAACAGCAAATTCGTAACTTAGGAAACGAACCAATAACCAGGGTGTTTTGTGGTGGGGGGAGGCAGGGAGTGGAGTACTCCTTTTTATATCCTCAAAACAACAACAAAAAATTAATACTTATATATTTCAATGGCAATCTAGTGTTTTTTTAAAGATTGTATAGGCATGAATAATAGAGGCGGTTTGAGTTTTGTAAGGCCATCACCTGGAAAGTCAATGCGACTAGACACAAAGTAGCCCAGAGGCCACTTTTCCTCCTACATCATCTTACAGTTGTAGGTTCTATGACCTCACTTCACAGGTTCCAGGCAATTCCACTGAAAGGTTTGTCTCCTGAAATTTTTTAAGTTTGTTTTCCTGACACATGTAATCAGATGTGTAGCAACCGAGGGAAACGAAGCCTAACATCCTCCATTGTGGAAATACACACAGGAGGTTACACTTCCCAGGGTGGATTTTTCCAGCTTACACATGTGGGATGACGTCACAGAAACCACAAAAGCAGCAAATTAAACTGTAGGAGAGTAAATACTCCTGACGAGTCTCGGGGGGGACATTTTTATGCCTTCTTAACTTTATGAGAATTCTCAGGCTGAACTATAGGCCATTGTTCCCTGGCAAATCAATACATCAATGCATCCTCAAAAAAAAAAAAACCCTGCTAACACTGTGTCAGAATGTTCTTAGGAGCCTATGGTCTCCACGGTGCTAAAGAGCCTGGTGCTGGGCCGACTGGCAGGGCTGAGTGTCCTCCTGCCCCTTTTGCCACTGATGTTTACTAAGCACTCTGAGCCAATGAGACCCCCAGCAGCAGAAAGGGTACAAGGTAGTGACAGGGCAGCAGGGCCAGATCTTTCTCATGCACCCTGACCTCTTGCAGACTTTCCTCGTGAGGCGTACTCATTTCGAAACTGCTATATGCAGGGCTCCCCTACGTATCACTCAGGCTGAAAGATCCTTCCTCACTGCGCTCAAGATGGCCCCAGCCAGACACCAGTTACCCAGCTGAAAGTCATAAACCCTCCCAGAAGTCTCCCAACACTAGTGCTGACCAGAGGTGGGGCTCTCAGGCTAGGAGTTTCACACACTATGACCGGCTGCTGGGGGACACTGCAGGACCCCTTTTCCTCCTCCTCTCCCATGCTAGAAGCCAGCCCTAGGCAGCTGCAGTTACTCCCTGTGACTCAGCAGCAGGCTGATTCAACACAGCTGCCCACAGGAAGCCAGTGGCCAATACATCTGTTTACCTTTCCCTATCACCCAGACACAAGCCCCTTTCCCAGGCCAATGCATCTCCAGTTTGTGACAGTCAAATTGCTATTTCCGTTGCCACTTTAGATCAGCCAAAGTGGTGACTGCTGCAGTGTGTGGCTGTCCCTACAAGGCCCACCCAAGGGATGCCCAAAGCCCAGCCTTCTCCAGGGCCACAGCCCAGAGCAACCCCACCAGCCTGAGTCCAGCAGAGGACCTCCCACCCAATGTCTTGTTCTAATTAGAAGGGGAAGTTAGCCATAGAAAATCAACTTATAATTACAAAATTCTCTTAACTCGCCTTAAAGTTCCTATTGACATCTATTGCTTTTAAACCTATTTCAAAACTCTGATACTAAAATGAATGGCACTCTAAGAAAGTTTGGGAGCCTCATGCTGAGAACCATTTCTGTGCAGTGAAGATGTTTCCAGAAGCTACTTACCTACATGTGAATGTGCCATTTTCTTTCCTTGTGTAGAGAAAATCCCCTTCACTTTTTGGAACAGTAATGACAGCTTCTAGTACAGCCATTTACAGTTTCATATGAGAAAAATTGAAAAGAATAACTATAAAATTGTTAAAATATCCAACAATGGATAATGATGGCCAGAAGATTTAACACATAAAGTAATTCTCAATGTAAAGCTATTCAGCTCTTCCAGGTTGAATGCCCTGGAACCCATCCTGACCTTCCACATCATCTTCAAAAAGCAGTTTCTCTGTTCCCCGTGATTCTCCTATAAGGTAACTCTCTAGTCCTCCATTTAGCACATATTAAATCCTCCAAAGATTAAGTACCATATGATTATTTTAGTTTTACAAAAAAAGTTGAATGGCATTTTATTTTCATGGCCTATAAGCAGGTACATTAGTAGGGCAGTGATAGGAAAAACAAATTAGACCAAAAAAAAAAAAAATCCTCTACAAATCCAAGGCAGGAAAAATGGTGGCAGAGTGACTCATTCTCCTGTCCCTCCCATCAAGTCAAATCGGGAGGCTGTAGTGAATGCTTGTTCTTTGAATGTGTGGCAGTTGTTCCTGGAACTCTTTAAAACGTGGCTATAGGCTATTTAGCACAGTATAGATTAAAGATACAGTTACGTAAACCAGCACAGTCATTTTATAGTGCTTCATCCATTTATCATGCTTTGGTTTGCTAATTTTTTCACGTACCTTTTTATATCAGTCTGTTGCTTTTGTACACATCTCTCATATTGGGGTTTGACAGGTAAACACAACCTGCTATTTCAGTAGAAAAAATTGTTACAAATATTAAACCCAATAAATAGTATAAAGGTAAATCAACGTGTATCTCATTTGTTACTGAGAATGTTACAAAAATTGGGGGAAGGCCTTCATGTAGAAAAATGTATTCTCATTCATTTATAGATGCTTGAGAAAATTTTGGAACAGTACAAAAAGAAACTACGAAGAATGGTTGGCAGGGTGGGGGTGCGTAAGGGGTGTGTGCTACCAGCCACATGAATGTGTGAGACTGTGGCACAGGAAGGAAGATGCTCACACACAGCATGGGGGGTGAGGCTTGATATGGTTTTTGAACAATGTGAATGTATAACCTAACTTTTTAAAACTCATCTATTTACATAAGAAATCCAAAAAGCAAGCAAGCAGTGGTACAGACATTAATATCGGAGTTATTTGGTATGAAAAATTTAAGTGTATGAAAAATGTAAGTGTAAACAGGTGCCTATTTACAAGGTTAAGAAATGCAGCATCGCCGGGCGCAGTGGCTCAAAAGCCTGTAATCCCAGCACTTTGGGAGGCCGAGACGGGTGGATCAGGAAGTCAGGAGATTGAGACCATCCTGGCTAACACGGTGAAACCCCGTTTCTACTAAAAAATACAAAAAAAACTAGCCGGGCGAGGTGGCGGGCGCCTGTAGTCCCAGCTACTCGGGAGGCTGAGGCAAGAGAATGGTGTAAACCCGGGAAGCGGAGCTTGCATCCGGCCACTGCACTCCAGCCTGGGCAACAGAGCAAGACTCCGTCTCAAAAAAAAAAAAAAAAAAAAAAAAAAAAGAAAAGAAATGCAGCATCCAACTTAATAAAACTACAGAAAATACAAAGAAAAATACATATACAAAATGCTAATAAGAATAAAGGAATTTTTTTTTTTTTTTTAAAAGACAGAGTCTCACTCTGTCACCCAGGCTGGAGTGCAACGGTGTGATATCAGCTCACTGCAACCTGTGCCTCCTGGGTTCAAGTGATTCTCCTGCCTCAGCCTCCTGAGTAGCTGGGATTACAGGCATGGGCCACCACGCCTGGCTAATTTTTGTATTTATAGTAGAGACAGGGTTTCACCATGTTGGCTAGGCTGGTCTCGAACTCCTAACCTCATGATCCGCCCACCTTGGCCTCCCAAAATGCTGGGATTACAGGTGTGAGCCACCACACCCAGCCAAAGGAGTCTTTATTCTTACCATTCTCCACCTATGATCACACAAGCTGGCAAAAATTAGTACATATAAAACTTCAACCATAATTGATATATATATATAACAGGATACTCCAAATATACAGAATATATCATCTTTCCAAGTGCCTTGGAGGAAAAAAAATTCTCAAAAAATAATTCCATATGCTAGAAATGTAATGATTCATTAGTTTTCAAAGATGAATTGCAGATTAGAAAACAGCAAGTGAAAACATTTGTAATAGCACACATGATGGTAGGGATCCTCAAACTCTTGGAATTAGAAGAACTCACTTGTGATGCTTGTTCAAACCCATTAAAATCCATTGCTCATGCCCTTTCCTTGGAGATTCCAATTCAAAGAGCTGAGATGGGGCTATGAAATGTGTACTTAGCAAGTTCTCCCAGTTGTATTTTTCATCAAAAGTTTAGAAAACTTCTATGATAATGTAACTAAAGCACTGCTGGGGGGAAATTCATAGCCCTAAATCTATATATTAATTTGTAAAGGATGAAAAAGGGAATTTAATATCTACTATAAGTTATAAAAGGAACAATAAAATAAACCCAGGGGAAAAAAATAGAAGAAATGAATTTGTAGACCTAAGGATAAGTTCATTAGAAAAAAGTAGAGCTAATAAAACTATGAGTTGCTCATTGGGAAAATTCAAACAGTGTATATAGACCAGCTTCTAATCTCATTAAGCAAAAAGAAGAAAAAGAGCAAACATACATAGCATATGAGCATGAAGAATCCTGCAGTCCACCATAACCCAGGGAGATGATCTCAAGAATATAAGGATGGTTCGATATTGATCAGGAGGGTGGACAGTTTTGCCAAGCTTGATGTCAACCAGAAGGGACGCACACTTCTTCCATAGAGCAGGCTAGTGAATATAGTCTACAAGAGACCAAAAAATGAAACTAAGGTGAATGTCAACATTGACCACCAACCAAAGGAGGAACCTGTGGAGAGTTGTAAATGTGCTCCAATTTTTAAAGAGGTTTTAAAAATCTAATCTGGCAAATCTAAAGGAATATGCATTTGTACAAAAGGTAAAACACTCATGAAATAGTTAAGGAATGGACTATATATGGTCCACAAATCCAATTCCTAAATTGAATATACTGTGAGCTCTTTGGAATAAAGCTGATTGCTAACGTCAATAAAACTGTGTGCTTTTTCTCTATGCCCCTCAGCACAAGCTTTGGAGCTTTAATTACCTTTTATTAGTCTTTCCCTACAGGAAAAAAAAAAAAAAAAAAAAAAAAAAAAATCCACTCCTCTACAGACCTTTGTAGCTGGTTTTCCCATGGGGCCAAGTTAACCAGTGTGTCTCTGGAGACATAAAATTCATGTGGTCTGTGTGCTTACTTTTTTGCTGATTTTGAAGTATGTTTGCTGAGTTGAAGCTCTACCACATTTGTGTCTTTAAGCTCCCAACCAGCAGACATGGTTGCGGTTAATTCCTACTTGTCTAGGAACTGCATAATCAGCATCAGAAAACCTTCTGCTCTGAAGACAAAATTTAATACACTACCCTTTGGCTACGTCGTCAACCCATGAGCAGGCTAAGTCTTTCATTGTCAGGGCCCGAGTATATGCAAACACATTAGACCTGTCTGTGGTCTAAGAAGGCTGACCCTCAAGCAGACACCTCTAATAGAACAGAACTGGAGTCTTGAAATATGTATTTTGAGCTTTGATGTGAGGCCAACAGCTGAAGAGAAAACGCCTGGGCTTTTCGAAGGAGCACCGCTCCAGGAGGGAGCAGTGGCCTGACAACCAGCCTGGAAGCCCTAAGTTGGGAGGGCAGGATTTAATTGAAAACACATGAGGGAAAGAATTCCAGCAAGGCCTAGCGTGGTCGGAGGACAGCTTGCGGGGCAGAAGCCGGGAGTGGGAGACCCATGTGTGTTTGTGTAGCTCCGGTGCATCAATATTTTGTTTCATGTCTAACTCCAAAAGGCACAAGTGCAAGAAAACATCCCCATTCTACAGACGCCCAGTGATGGCAACACATATGCGCGTGCTTAGGTAAAAAGATGTATTTCAAAGTGGGATCAGTGAATCTTCAATAAATAAATAAATGTACAGCCCTCCAAGATGCAGAATTTCCCATCCCTAGTTTAACAGTCACTGTTCACTTTGTTTTACGTGCATTTCGCAGATGAGTGGTGCTCTCATCAGCAGACACAAGACTTCTTTGGCCTCTGCTTTTTTTTCCTTTCTTCTAATAAGGAGATTACACTCTGGATAAACAAAACAGACAGGAGAATGTAATGCAGGGTTTTGGTGGTTTGAGTCTAGAAGGACTACAAAATTAGCCTTGATAGGCAGAAAGAGCATCCCAACCTGTCTGTCAAAAACTCTGGCCATTTCTAGGACACCTTTGCCGAACTGAAACAGGAAACAACAAAAATTTTACATGCTTATAAATGTTCTTTCTCCCCCTCCGAGGAAAATCTTTACATAAAGATGGACTCATTTACCTCATTTTTTACACTTGCATCTGCCCCTTTGTCAAGAAGTAACTGAACTAACTCTTCATGATTATTTAACACAGCCACCTAGAAAACAAAACCCAGGGTGGTGTGCATGAGCATCTCCCTCCAGGGCACACACAGCAGGGAGCACGAGCCTGGCGCGTGCAGGGTCCCAGCAGCCCCCCTGCAACCCACAAAGGGCCACTGTGGCTTTGCGTGGCCTGCAGGCACAGCACTTCCTCTACAGCTGCAGTGGTAGCAACTCCAGGGAAAATGAAAACGGACCCTCCCCTCTCTCCACACGAAAACCAGGACAGAAAGCAGTTTGTTCTTTGTTTCACCAGATCTGTTTTGATCCCACAGCGGTCCTGGGGACAGGGGCTCTTTACTCCTTCAATAGTCATAAAAAGGCAATGAAGTATTCTAGTGATAGCCTCATGCCCTTATGAACAAGCCGACAGGGAACACACACACAGTCAAACCCAAGGGCTGGTGCAGGGCTGAACTCACAAGAATTGTCTCATTACAGAAAAAGCTCTGACCTTAATTCCACGCAGAAAACTGCCTATTTTCGGGAGGAGGACCTACCATAAGGGGCGTCTTTCCATTTCTGTCCTTCACATTCACATTGGCTCCAGCATCAATTAGAAGAGAGGCCACCCTCTGATTTCCCGACACCGCAGAGACTCTCATGAGTGGGGTCCATCCTGAACCAGTGTCCACGACGTCTACCTGTTGCGCCAGAGAAACAGCTGTGTTAAGCCCAATTTCTTTTTCTTAAACTGATTCAAACTTATAAAAGGAGTATTTGCTTGCCCCAGTGCCCGGACTTAGATAGCAGTCTTTCTATATTTGGTTCACTGCACTGTTCTAATTTAAGTCACATTTCTGTGCTGCAAAGACATGTGTTAGAATCGCATTAGAGGGTGCTGAGAGGCCCCAGGGTCTCCCCGTCAGCTTCTTCACCTACATCCTTTAAAGTGGAAAAAAGGTGGGCTAGAAAAATTAACTGAACTACTTTCCCCTTGGCTCCTGGTGAGTTCTTATTTTCTCTTGCCTAACTTTCCTCACCTAGCATTCATTTTTCTTTCTTTTATGTATCGTTGTAAGCAGCTTTACATCCTTTCTGGAATGAGACAGTAATAATACATACACACACACTCTTATGCTTACCAATACTTATCAATTTTAGGCAGGAGACCTACAGGTAAAATACAGAACAACCAGATTCATTACACAAACTCTGTCTGAAAAGTCTGACTAATGGCTTCTCCAAAACAGTGTGCCCAGTAATCAGATGGCTATTTCCTGATCATCTTCTCTACACTGAAATCTCTCAATTTAGTGTTTTAAAATAAATATTTCAGATTAAGAAAATGTAAATGTTGTCTCTTCCAATTCCAGTGAAGACCTCACCAATCCACGAAGAGTGGTGCTGAAGTAAAGACAGATACATGTGTGTGCTCAGATACACACGTGCACGTGTACATGCACACATGCATACCATGTGCACACATGCATACCATGTGCACACATGCATGTAAGCACACATGAGCACATGCACGCACACACAATCTGTTACAGAAAAATTACTCAAAGATGAAGCACAGCTTTAGTAAAACTTCAGAATGGAACAACAAACAAGGAATTTCCAGGAGATCTTGGGGGCACTTCAGGGTATTTCTACGTATAAGAGTATCCACTGTAACACGATTTGGATTTGCAGCTCTTCTTCACGCAAAGAACTAACCTGTGGGCAACACACTCCGTTATATTTAAAGAATAATAAAATAAGCACCTCATATTACATGATGCTTTATACAAGCTTTCAACCCTCTTTACACACACTTTCTCTTTTGGTCCTAAAGGTTAATCAGAGGTAGGTATTTTTATTCTTGGTTTACAAACGATCAAACTAAATCTCAGAGAAGTGCCTTTCCTGAGATCACATGGATCATTAAATGCAGAAATGAATACATAAGTCGCCAATAAGTCACTCTTAGTATATGATCATTACATTTGGGAAGAAGGTGGTGATTGGGTCCCAAGTCCTTCCTATGGGCTTCAGAAGCATCAGGTGAGCCATCTGCCAGAACATGGAGAGACTCATGTTGACATCATCCATCCGCCACCAGGCCAGTCATGTGGAAATCTATAGTGAACACATCCATGCTTACTGTTCTGTCCTCTGCAAAGTAGTTCCAGTGCTTCAAAGATGGAATTTCTCCCAAATAAGCATATTGATATCTGAAGCCCTGAGAGCCAACATTTCCAAAACTCCAGTATTTAAATGTTGATAGAGATTTGCCCTATTGTGAATGCTTCATTCATTCATTCATTCATTCATTCATTCGAGATGGAGTCTCACTCTGTCGCCCAGGCTAGAGTGCAGTGGCACGATCTTGGCTCACTGCAACCTCCACCTCCTGGGTTCAAGCAATTCTCCTGCCTCAGCCTGCCTAATAAGCTGGGATTACAGACGCCTACCACCACACATGGCTAATTTTTGCATTTTCAGTAAAGACAGCATTTCACCATGTTCACCAAGTTGGTCTCGAACTCCTGACCTCAAGTGATCCACCCGCCTTGGCCTCCCAAAGTGCTGGGATTACAGGCATAAGCCACTGCGCCCGGCCTGGATGCCTGACTTCTTACAGCAAAGTACAACCTTCTTTTTCAACCACAGACTTTCACTAGGTGCAAAACCTGCCCAGAATTCATCATAAACCAATCAAGGAGTGTGTGGCTGTCACTACCACACATGGCACGTGGGCCCAGCTCTACTATGGAAGCCCATAGGCTCAGCCTCCTGCCTCTGTGCCTGTCTCTAAAACATAAGGAAAATAAGAAATGTAATAAATTTTTAATGACTGAAATTTTTCCTATAAGTGGGCACTTTTCTTAATTCTCCAAAAGCAGCAGCAGGAACCAGGTAGATCCCATAACTGAAGTCTCACTTTCCCTCAATTACCCTTCAGAAACAAACTAGAACAAATCTACTGACATCTTCCAGGAGACATGACTTTTCTCAATTTGAGTTGATTTTCCAGGTCATCGACTTAATTTCTCAGCACTACACACCATCTGGCAGTCACAGATAGCACAGAACTTTGTCCATCATTCTTTAGTTCTATGCTTTGAAATTTTTAGCTGATTCCTTCAAAGTCTTGAACTAAAGTTTTCAAAGTTATCAGCAATTTCCATAATTGATCTAATTCTAATTACCCATCTTCAAATATCTATAGATGTCCAAACAACACTGCTTCTATTTGCTAAATCAAATTTGCAGTTTCTGATAACATGAAATCAAAAGTAGACCAACTTGCCTGTTTCCAGGTAAAGACACAACTGAAATGTTCTATTCTTGATAGGGTCAGTTTGCTCTTTGGAAATTTTTTGTAATGACTAATCTTTAAAACAAACCAAGAATAAAAATTACCTAATTTTAGAAGCAACAAGAAGCACAATGGCTATAAGAGCTCTTAATATCTTTGTATCACCACCATTTGAGATAATATCTGGTACATGCTTAGTAAAGCTTTAGTGACAGACTGAATGAAGAAAGAAATCAGCAAATGAACAAAAGAACAAAGTAGAAACATCAGGCCGGGTGCAGTGTCTCACACTTGTAATCCCAGCACTTTGAGAGGCCAAGGCAGGTGGATCACTTGAGGTCAGGAGTTCAAGACCAGCCTGGCCAACATCGTGAAACCCCATCTCTACTAAAAATACAAAAATTAGCTGGGGGTGGTGGCATGTGCCTGTAATCCCAGCTACTAAGGAAACTGAGGCAGGAGAATCACTCGAACCTGGGAGGCAGAGGTCTCAATGAACCGAGATCGCACTACTGCACTCCAGCGTGGGCGACAGCGTGAGACTCCATCTCGAAAGAAAAAGAAAAATAGAAAAAGAAGAAAAAGAAAAAGAAAGTAGAAGCATTAGGTCCAGCTCTGGATTCAGACATGTTTCTTTTCCCTACACAAGACAAACCCCCACGACAATCGGAAAGCTCACTCTCATGTCCATTCTAAGGTTTCAGGGGCTTTCTTGCTAAGTCAGAAAACTTTCTCCAGCATTTTGTAGGTTGACTAATCAAAGGCCCTGCTTCTGCCAGACCCCGTGGAGCAGCATTTCAGATTCTTGACGATATGTGCATGGTTAACAAGGCAGGTCTCGTACCTCACAGCCATCCTTTATCATCCACTCAATCACACTGCAGTGGCCTCCATCTGCAGCCCAGTGCAGAGCCGTACAGCCGCCCAGGTCTCTAGCCTGCCAAGAAGCGCCGTGTCTTCGGAGATATTTCACAACATCTAGGTGTCCCGCATAGCACGCCAGCATTAGACTGCAACATACGGAAGAAGCAGCATTTGACGATAAGCACAGTCACCGAACTCAGCTCCGCTTTTTACCCTACCTGGCTTAAACCAAGAAATCCTAACTTGAGTGGAAAAGCCATGGGAATTGTTCATATAAAATGTACACATATCCATCAACTGATGTACAAAACGTGGTATATATCCATACAATGGAATATTAGGAATGAAGTGCTACAAACATGAAAGAACCTTGAAACACTGCGCTGAAAGATGCCAGACATGAAAGGCCACATATTGTCTGATTCCATTTATATGCAATGTCCAGAATAGGCAACCTACAAAACAGGAATAGCAGGTGAGTGGCCGCCTGAAGCTGAAGGGAAGGAGTAATGGGGAATGATTGCTAAAGAGTGCAGGACTAATATTTCAGGGGGGCAGGGGATGAATGTTCTGGAAGTAGATAGCAGTGATGGTTCCACAACTTTGCAAATACATTTTTAAATGTTGATTTGTATGTTTTAAAAGGTGAATTTTATGGTATGTAAATTATATCTCAATAAAAAACAAATAGTGACTGTAACTGAGGATAAAATATTAGATTTTAAAACATCTGAAGTCCATGATATTCAAAAAAGAGAAAAGGAAAAAATACTCATTTGACACTATTAGAGATAACTATCAAACCAATTTCCTACTCTAAAAGTTGGTATTTAAGAAAAAATTAAATATTTTCTTTTTTTTTTTTAGGATAAAATGTAGTCTATGCCCAGTTGGTGGGGGGAAGAAGCTGTTTTTCACAGAAGACTGCCAACTAGTAAATATAAAAGAAACCATAGAGTTAGAAAAGCCCTTATTTGCAATTCCCTATTAAATAATTGATTCAGGCAATAAAATTATTGGCACTGAAATTATTGGGTAAAAGTTAATGGGGAGGCCAGGCGCAGTGGTTCACCCCTGTAATCCTTTCTCTTTTGGAGGCTGATGTGGGTGGATTGCCTGAGCTCAGGAGCTTGAGACCAGCCTGAGCAACATAGCGAAACTTCATCTCTACTAAAAACACAAAGATTAGCCAGGCATGGTGGCAGCTGCCTGTAATCCCAGCTGCTCGGGAGGCTGAGGCAGGAGAATCGCTTGAACCCGGGGAGGCGGAGGTTGCAGTGAGCCGAGATCATGCCACTGCTCGCCAGCCTGGGAGAGAGAGCAAGACTCTGTCTCAAAAAAAACAAAAAACAAACAAACAAACAAAAATTAATAGCGAATGAAATATTCACACAGCAATGAATTATTACCCCCAAAATTATTTTCTAAGTGCAATGGGAAAAGTCTATCTTTACAAAGAAGAAAATTTGCTGTCATCACTCTAAAAAAATAATGAAACCTAGAATCACTACCTGTGAGACAACCTGCATCACATGCCTCCTGATGGATGTAACATGAAGTCACAACACTAGCTCTGAAGTATTCTTGCTAAAGTGTTAACCTGAGTCTAATTAAGCCTTTAATTTTTTTAATTCTTAAAAAATTTCACCTTGTTGCGCCCAGGTTGGTTTCAAACTCATGGCCTCAGGTGATCTTCCTGCCTCAGCCTCCCAAAGTGCTGGGATTACAGGCAGGAGCCACAGCACCCAACCTAATCAAGCCCTTAAGCCTGTCTTTAACTTTATTGTTAATAAAGGGATAGATGAACAAGTGAAATGCCTGCCCCACAACTGGGAGACAAGCAAATCCAGAACATAGGACATTCTAGAAGATAACCGGTCCGCTCTCCTCAAAGAGTCACTGCTATGAGAAAAAAAAAAAAAAAGTTTTAAAGAGAGAGGACTGGTCTAGAATAAGAGACTATAGAGAGAAAGGCCAGATGAAATGTGGGAACCCTGAATGGATCATGGTCTTGCCCCACACCACCCTCCCAAACCCCACACGCCACCTCCCAAACCCCCACACACCACCTCCCGAACCCCACACACCACCTCCCGAACCCCACACACCACCTCCCAAATAAAGCTGTGGAAGACCTTTGGGGAACAGGTTGGGAGACCTGCACGGGTGGTTGTGTATCAATGATATTAAGGAATTAGTTGAAGTGTCTTAGAAGTGATATGATTACTATGCAGGTTAATGACCGTGTTTTTCGGAAACATTTTCTGATGTATTGAGGGGTGAAGGATTATGCTATCTACTAATTTCAAAATAGTTCAGCAAGAGTGGAAAAAAAGGAGAGACAAATACGGCCAAATATCAACTGCCAAGCCTAGGTGGGAGGTATACAGGTGTTTGTTGTACTATTCTTTCACTTTTTCTAAATGTGTAAATGTTTCAAGATAGAGTTAGAAAATAAAACAGAAGATCTTCCCAATAGGGAAACGTGCAAAGCCTCTGAGTGGTAACTGGAATATCCAGCCCCCAAGGCAAGGCCCAGCTGAGCTGAGATGGGGCCAGACCTCTGCAGCCCCACATCCTCACACAGTCCTTCATTTCTTGGAGACCCCCAGAAGACAGTCAGCGTGGTGCAGTACCTGCCTGCCGGGTTTAGGGTGCTCATACTCCTTTCCCAAGCACTCGAGGGTCTTTAGAATGACTTTTGCTAAGGGAAGAAAACTTCACTTTTTAAATTATATTCTCAAATAGAACCTTAATTATCTGCATGACTTTTCTTTTTTGAGACAGAGTCTCACTCTATCACCCAGGCTGGAGTACAATGGCACAATCTTGGCTCACTGCAACCTCTGCCTCCTGGGTTCTAGTGATTCTCCTGACTCAGCCTCTCAAGTAGCTGGGATTACAGGCGCGCACCACTGTGTCCGGCTAATTTTTTGTATTTTTAGTAGAGACAGGGTTTCACCAGCCAGGCCAGGCTGGTCTCAAACTCCTGACCTCGAGATCCGCCTGCCTCGGCCTCCCAAAGTGCTGGAATTACAGGCGTGAGCCACCACGCCCGGCCTATCTGCATGATTTTAAAATAATGCTTCTTTTCTGATTATAAAGTAAGGCATGGTACCTAGAAAAAAAAATCCCATATTAGAGTCACCCATAACCTCACCTCACAGAGAACAAACTCTTAAGATTCTGTTGAATTTGCTCTAGAAGGTAAGGAGGATTGCTTAAAAACCAGCCCCGGAGGCTCTGGGTTGCCCAGCAATGAGCTCATTGAGACGAGGCGCTCTTCTTTCCCAGGGATAGGCACAGCCCTGAACTTACCACCTCCCGCTGGCAGAAAGCCACCAAGGCCCTCCAAGTGCCAAGCCGCTGGAGTCAGCCACCACCCCAACTGCCACCTGAACTCAAACTGCCTGGCACCCGCGGGGTCTGTTATCTGCTGCTTTATAAGAATGCCCCTCTCTGGTTCACAGGGTAGGAGAAAGGAAGAGCGGCCAGGACATAGCATGCTCCTGAGCACAGCCCTGCAGGGCATCCCACTGTGCCCCAGGGCAAGCCCACCAGGAATGGAGGACCCGCTCCACTCGCCTGCTGCTGAGTTCCCTGCTCAGAGTCACACTCCCAGCTCTACACAAAATCCCATCCTTTCTCGCTTTGTATGATTTTCTCTTCTCACTGCCTTTTAAAAAGTATTATTTCAGTTTCTTATTATTTCATATACTTCCCTGTTTACATAAGCACTGAAAACAGTGTTCACATACTAAACATTCCATCATATGAACATATCGTAATTTCAATCAATCCACTATTGTCGGACATTTAAGTTGTTTCACATTTTTCACAATTTTGAATAAGGCAACAACAAACACCCTTACTAATCATATTTGCATTTCTGATTGTTTCCTAAAACGGGATCACTGTGTTCATGGATGTGGTTTACTTTGGAAGCACATTTCCGAATTGCTTTCCAGAAAGATTATACCAATTTACATTTCTATCAACTATATTTGAAAGTACAGGTTATTTCACTGCATCTTTACCAACATGATTTTTTAATAACCAATTTGATAAGTAGAAAACTTTTTATTACTAGTAATGCTAAACATTTTTATATGAATTGCTTATATTGATTCTGCTATAAATTGTCTTCTTGTGTAAACTGCTTTTTTCTACTGTGTGTGGAGGCTTTTTTGGAGTACATGTACGGGTGTGTGTGTGTTCTACACATTAAAGATGCCAGTAATTTGTCTATAATACATTTGTAAATATTTCCCTGGATTGTCCTTAACATTGTAATTAAGTTTTTAAAAATGTATAATACACTCTTAATCTTTTCCTTAATGATTCCTTTCAATGCACTTGTTCCTTTCACATTACAAGATAAAACAATTATGCATCTGTGTTTTCTGGTCATTTTTTATGGGTCTTTTACATTTAATTCTCAATTCATCTGGAATTTTGATACATGCTATAAGACCAGGATCTAACTTGACTTTTTCCTTCAAACATCCTGTTTTTCCAGTACATTCCTCATTGGTTTATGTTACTTCCATCATCATATACTAGGTTCTTATGTAGATAGGGATCTACTTGAGGATTTCTATTCCATTCTACTTTTTTTCTGATTTGTTCCAATATCATATTACTTTAATTACTATAACGTTATGAGGCATTTTAATAACTGTCAAGGCAAGTCCTTCCACATTCTTCCTTGACAAAGTTTTAGTAGATATTATCTATTTGTTCTTCGATAAATTACAATCATTTTGACAGGTTCCGAAGAATAATTCCATTTGAGGCTGCACTGAACCTCAATGCAGTATTTGAGAAGAATTAAAAATTGTATAATATTCAATCTTGCCATTCTGGCATATGACATGTCTTTATTTCTTAAATTTTTATATCTCTCAGTAAGGTTTTTAGGTTTATTTTTTCATTCAGATTTCCTATCTTTGTTTTCATTCTATTTTATTTCCCCATTATATTTATTAACCAGTAATTGCAGGGATTTAAGAAAGTCTTTTCTTTGCCTTGTTTGTCCACTTTACTGAGCCTCCTTATTAAGTCCAAGTTTTTCAAGTTGATTCTGTTGGGTTCTACAGGAAATCAATCACACCTCTTATCTCAGTTCATATCTTCCTAAGTGGATCAGCCTTCAAAATACTGTCTAATCATGAAATAACAAAATATATCTGTATTTACCATATGCCAGGAACTGTTTTATGCATTTTTCATATTAGCTCATTAAATGCCTACAACCTATAAGCACTTCCATTATTCCAATTTTACAGACACGAAACTGAGATACGGAGAGGTTAGGTAGCCTGTCCAAGGCCACACCACATCCTCAGAGGGATGCAGATTTCACATCAAGCTCTCCACCACTCTCCTGGGCTTCACTACTAATTTTGAAAAGGAATTTGCCAATACTAAGAATGACACTGGCTGATTGAGATGATTTAAAAAATAAAAGAAACCTTTGTATGCTGCAATCAAAGGAATCCTTCATTTAACAGACACTTCCTGCCTCCCATGTGCCAGACACTGTTCAAAGGCTGAAAGTATCCTTCACTTTAAAAAATAAGATACTTTTTTCAAGACCATCCTGGCTAACAGGGTGAAACCTCATCTCTACTAAAAATACAAAAAACTAGCCGGGCGAGGTGGCGGGCGCTTGTAGTCCCAGCTACTCGGGAGGCTGAGGCAGGAGAATGGCGTGAACCCGGGAGGCGGAGCTTGCAGTGGGCTGAGATTGCGCCACTGCACCCCCAGCCTGGGTGACACAGCGAGACTCCGTCTCAAAAAATAATAAAAATTTTAAAAATTTAAAAAATACTTTTTAAACTTTTTAATATACATGCCAAGTTACACCCAATTTTTGTTTTGCGTCTACACAAATAACGGTTTTCACCTTTAATCTACTGCTGGGAAGTGTTATGTTAAAAAATTTCCTAATACCCTCCGGAATGGCCCTCCTAGGTGGGATGGAAGAGATCTATAAATATCTACACACAAACACACACACAAATAGCTTTTTTTCTATCAGATTTTAGCAATAAGGTTATCCTCTGGAGCATTCCAGTTTGCTCTCTGATCTGGAAAAGCCCAAGGTTATTATCAGTGCCTAGAAAATCTGAACAGGTTTACTAGGTAGAATAGTCAAGCCACGGAGCCTACATTGGAGGTAATTTTTAAATGAATTTTCTAGTTTCTTGCATGGACATTGGTTATTTCGAATTTTCTACTTCTTGGGTTGACATGGTGGTTTAAATTTTCTCAGAACAAAGTATCCATTTCGATGACATTATCTATTATAGACACAAACTTCATGTTTACATTTTCTCTATAACCATCGTTATTGTCCCTCTTTCAAACTTCTATTTTTCTTCTTTCTTAGATTTACAAAAGATCGGTGTATCTTACTAGATAGTTGCCTCTTAAACAGAAAGCTCTTACATTTCTCAATAATCTTTCTACTTTTTAATCAATGTCTACTTTTAATTTTCATTTTTCCTACTCTCATTATACTTTTTTTCTTTTCCCTTTTCAGATTGCTATTATTCTTTTCAAACCTGGAGTTGACAGCTTAGTCTCAACCTATGAGTTATTTGGAAAAATACTTTTTAAATTTATAAGTGATATTTAAGATATTGTTATTTAAAATCTATTGCTGCATTGTGTTCAGAGAATGTAAATGTAGAAGATAGTCCTTCTGATTTGAGGAGTTAGTTGAGGTTTTCTTTACGGCCTCCCCCAGAAGGTCAGTGTTTGGCAGCTGTCCGTCGATGCAGTCTGCAGCGCCCAAGCCCTGGTTCCATGTGTGTCGTGACCGCAGCCCCTGAAGCCAGGGCCTGGCATTTTGCTCAGTGTTTCACCCATGCACCAAGCACAGCGCCTGGCAAGTAGTAATCAGTCAATAAACACGGGTTAGCTGGAATTAATTGATTAACTCTAATGACTAGATGAGAGCGTGTGTTTAGGTCTTTCAGGAACACTCATCTGCCCTGAGCTTTTCCTGTAGCGTTCTCAGCCCTCCAAGGGAACATGTGCCTCTCACCTCAGAAAGTGCTCCGGGCGTCTCTCTGGTGGTGATTTCTGTCTGCTTCTTTAGAAACAACGAAGATTTCTTAGCAAAGAGTGAGGCTGAAATGCAGCGGGGGACTGAGAGAGGCACAGGGTGCCGGGGGCAGGCGCTTGTACCCACGGGCCGCACAGCTGGCCAGAGCTGCTCTGTAGCTGCCGTTTCCCGTGCACTGTGTGTCCACTGGGCACAGCCACCACGCCAGAGAAGTCACCATACGTTACAACAGATGCCCGCCCCCCACAAGCACCCTGGTGAGTGAAAGCACAAGACCATGTGAGCAAGCCAGCTTTTGTGATCACCATCTTTCCTCGGGGACCCACTCACCTCTCAGTACTTGTCAAAAGGAACTCGAGAAAATGTTTGGGTGAAATCACAGTGCCTCTGGGCACAAGCCCAGCAACACGATTCTGAGAACATCAGCACATTTTCAGTCATATCCCACCTCCTACCTGTCCTTGCCACTTCCATTCTTCAGATTCACGTCTGTGCCATTAGAAACTAGGATTTTCACAAGCCTAAAGGAAACAAACTGAACTGTAGCTAGGTAAGTCACTTCGATCACTCAGCACCCACAATAGTCCAGTCAAAAAAGAATAACACAGCATCCAAGATGACTCTTTGCAACAGTTTCTTCTGCACCTTCAGAAGCCAGCTGGTTTTAAAACCAGGCACCATTAAACCAGAAAACCACCTCTTCAATCCAAAAACACAGGCTTTTACCTTTGACACAAGTTATTGACTAAAATCAAACAAAAGCACATGAAACAAATTGGGCTACCAAAATAATTCACTGTCCTTTGAATGGCCATTTTTTAATATATTCTTAAATGGTAGCATTTAATGAAAAAACATTTATGTTTTTTTCAAATGGCATTTAATTAAGGTATAAATGAAAATAAGGTATTTCTATTAATACTTATCTCTGTGTGGAATAGATAATGAGAGTATATCTGTGAAAATTATATCTTAGCAACCTAGCAGAAAGTTTTCCAGAATATCCCTCTATTTTTTAAAAAGAAAAATTCAAATTCCAATAACCAGTTTTCCAAGAACATAAAAATATATTGCATGTAATTAAATGGCTACCCCTCTTCCTCAACATATGATTTACATTCTCTCCTGCGTATTGTATAACTTTATGATTACAACAGCGGGATTTTTAAGCCATCGCATGGTACGGACGGTTTGGGAGACAGAAAAGAAACTGGGTTCATCCATGGCCCTTTTTCCTCCCATCCTTATCCTGACCAGAGCCTCTGAATAAAACAAAAAGTTAAATCCCCAAGAGAGATTTAAAAAAAAAAAGAAGAAGAAGAGCCATACCTGGTGTATCCTTTCTGGGCAGCAACCATCAGAGCAGTAAAGCCAAACTTATTGGGAACATCAACCTTAACATGGCTTGGGAAAGACAGAGAAAAGAGATGAGCATGCTCAGTACAGCTACTGCAGAGTCAAAGCCAGTGGTTCTCGTGGGGCTCAGGTGGCTAAAATGACTCATTTTACTGAAGATTCCAATTTCTTTGGGGCCATTAAATCTTTTCTTGTCTTAGGACTGCTAAGAATCTTCTAAACTATATGCCTAATATTCTACAAGATTCAAATGCATAATAAAAGAGAAAACTACTGTAATTTCACTTAAAATATGCACACTTTAGCTCAAAGCCATCGTGCCATCAGATGTAGCACTCTTAGATGAACACAGCTCTTTAAGATAGCGGAGGACAGTATTTCACTGCTGACTCTCAGCTCCACTGAACATGAGTTTGTATTGGTGGAGACTCGAGCTTTCTCCTTGCCTCCCATCTCACCTACTGGGTAGAGAACAGTCCTGTTCAGGGAAGAAAGCGGAGGTCTTCACGCACATTCTCCAGCACAGCAGCTTTGGCTTTTTGTGGGAACCTTCTCTGAAGAGCTCCAAATTACAGAGCCATAATTCACAAATGACTTGTCTGCTAGGGCACTCAAAACTATTGATTCAAAAAGAACCTAGGTAACATCATCTACTTTTCATGTAGGAGGCAGCTTCAAACGTCTCATCTGCAGCAGCAATATTCACCATTTTCCCTCTAGTGTTATATCAACCTTTTAAATTAGAAAGCAGTAGATTTGGCGATTCCCTCGTTTCATCAGAAATTAGACATGGGCATCTGGGGGTGAAATTTGTCTAAATGCTGTGGCTTATAAGCAAGATACAGAAATCATTTCTGGGAAGAAAATATGATACCCAGCCTTGTAATTTCCTTTTACAATTTCTATTACATGATTACAAAATATAACATTTACATGGGGCTTCACGAGCATCTTTATTAACTATGGTTTAATTAACTCACACCAGTCACCTGAGATCCATTTTGGAGGCAGTTTCAAAGGCATGGGAATTTTTAGGAAAACAAAATGAAGCTACTGCATGTATTTCTATGCACTTTATAGGCATGGGGAAAAAAAAAAAAAAAAAAAAAAGACTGACAGAGTTCTCTCACCCTCCTTGAAGTATTCGGACAAGCAAATCTTCATCATTCACATTAACAGCCCGATGCAAGTGCTCGCTACTTATGGGCTCTCCTGGAGAAACGAGATGGAAGGCAATCATCCAGAACGTCAAGAAAGGAGATTCCTTCCCACCATCTTCCTCCTGTGGCCTTCGGGGATCATCTCCAGGAAGGCGCTTGGCTATTTCTGTAAGTATATCTTACATTTCCTACTCAACTGCTTCTTTTACCGAAAAAGGCCTTGTTTTTACATGTTAACACAGCATCCAAGATGGCTCTTTGCAACCGTTTCTTCTGCACCTTCAGAAGCCAGCTGGTTTTCACATATTAAGAGAACATTTTGACTGACCTAAAGGCTTGGGACATTTTCAAGTTATAAAGTATTGCTTTGTGAATGTTATTTTGATATTTAGAAATAATCCTGTCAGATTTCATAAGACTTAATAAATGTCTCCTACAAGCAAGGAAAACCTCAGCAACTGTCACAACACGCTAGTTTCATTGGCCAAAGAGATGTTAAACTATTTTGGGGAAAAAAAAAAAGGACAAAGTGCTTTAACATTCGAAATTAAAATTTTCAGTTCTTCCCAGGAATGTGACATACATGTTGGCCTTGTCTTCTCTGAGCTTGTGGGGTCAGGGGGCTTCTACCCACAGGGAGGTGGGGAGCACCAGGAGAAAACTCAATTAGGGGAGAGAGCTTGCCAAGCGGAGCAGACCCAGGAGTCCAGAAGCCTAAAAGAACAATGGGCCACAGTCGGGGAGGGCATCCTCTGTACAGGGGACATCAGCTCCACAGCAAAGCCAACAGGCAGGCGGGCAGCACAAATAGAGGGAGAGTAAAGGGCTAGGAGAAGCCGCCCATCTTTCTAGGAGTTTCTGGTTTCATTTGTTCCTTATTCTACACCTTCTAATTTTAAAAAGGATCACGATTAGGCTTAAATGAAATACCAGTGAAGCACTTGGAATAGCACCTGGCACATCGTAAGTACCCAGCACACGCCTGTTGTTGGGGTGACAGTAGCAGCAGCTGCCATCGTGAGTGGATACAGCCCCACCACCTCTTAAATTCTCCAAATGTACGCCCAGCCCCTCACCCATGCGTGGCAAGCGTTTGAGTTTATAATCCCTGGTCTAAATAACCTCAAAGGTCTCATTCATTCATTCAACAAACCTAAGTAATATACATGCCAAGTCCTGTGCTAGGCTCTGGAGGGTTAGCATGAAAAGAGCTAACCATTAGCTCCCATGCTCCCTTCCACTGTAGTGCCCGCTTTCAGCCCGTTACTATTCTTTTTTTTTTTTTTTTTTTTTTTTTGAGACCGAGTCTGGCTCTGTGGCCCAGGCTGGAGTGCAGTGGTGAGATCTCAGCTCACTGCAAGCTCCAGCTCCTGGGTTCACGCCATTCTCCTGCCTCAGCCTCCCGAGTAGCTGGGACTACAGGCACCTGCCACCACGCCCGGCTAATTTTTTGTATTTTTAGTAGAGACGGGGTTTCACCTTGTTAGCCAGGATGGTCTCGATCTCCTGACCTCATGATCCACCCATCTCGGCCTCCCAAAGTGCTGGGATTACAGGCTTGAGCCACCGCACCCGGCCAGCCCGTTACTATTCTAAACCTGAAAGAAAATATCCACTCCTGCCCCATTCTCCCCCACTGTACCCTACACTGCCTCCTGGGGTTCACCCACCCTCCCCTCTTATAGTCCGGCCCAGAGAGATCAGCTTGCCTCCCTCTTCCTGCTCCTTATGGTAGAAAATCTCTCTGGGATGCCAGTTCCTGGGCCTAGGAGACACTTTTTCTTTGGGTTTCCTTGGAGGGTTTCAGTGGTGCAAAGTGAGTTGGGCAATGTACAAACTGGGAAAACAGTGAGACAGGAGAATAAAAGGATTTCTCCCAGAATGATCTTTAGCTGATACCTTTTCCTTTCTTTCGTAAAAATAAATTTATGCCAAGTTTATTTTGAAATAGCAATTTTGTCTGCTAGAGCTTGCCAATCTCTTACAGATTTTTTTTAGCTACATTATACCTCCTTTTCATCATTACATACATTTTTCAGATCAAAAGTGTCAAATAAAAGTCACACGATAACCTGTCAAAGGCCAAGGCTCACAGCTGTCCCTGGCCTTCTAAGGCAGGTCATGCTGTGCCCAGTGGTTTCACTAGTAGGGCTTAGGAAGGAGGCAGGGTTTTATACCCCAGAGGACATCTGGCAATGTCTGGTGACATCTTTGGGTGCCACAACTAAGGAGATGGTGCACTGGCATCTAGAGGATAGAGGCCAAGGAAGCTGTGAAGCATCCCTGGTGTGCAGGACAGCCCCCCACAACAAGGAACCATCCAGTCCCCAAAGGTCAGTAGTACCAAAGTTGAGAACCCTGGGCTAGATTAATAAGGACTTAAAATCATCACGTGTTTCATCTACACTTTAGATGGATGAACAAAACCCATAGACTGTTTCCCTTTCTGTTGCTAACCAGAAGAGAGTGATATGTTTATAAAAGTCTTTGTTATCCCATTAATAGGCCCCATGTTCTCCTAATCTCAAACTTCAGCTGCCACTAAAACATAAAAACAAGTCATTTGGATAAATCACTTATAACAACATATAAAGCTCATTCTATTTCTACTAAGTTGTACAATGTGTAGTATCCTAAATCAAATCCTATGTAGGCTTTTTACACAGTGCTTTTAAAATTCTCCTCCAAACCATAAGACTGGGAGTCAGAAAGGCTAAGTTTTAAAATTCTCCTCCAAACCATAAGACTGGGAGTCAGAAAGGCTAAGTTGTCCAAGGTTGCCCAGTTAGGAGAGGGCAGCATCAGAGCCAAGGCCAAGTCTTCCATGAGGCCCACTCGTTCCCTTTAGTATTTAGTAAATGCTGTAGTACCGACCAATTCACTATATGCTTCCACTCTTACTAAATTCTGCAGACAGATGAACATCTTAAGTAAATGTGATCCTCCCCCAGTGTTAAAAGGAAGGGGATGCCTAAAAATCTTCCAAAAAGTGCTAACTGCTTGAGATGTTAGGGAAAGTTCTAAGGGCGCACCCCCGACCACCTCTCTCCACCGACCCCATCTACTACCACAGCCTCCATCTTACCGAACAGCAAGGCTCTCCCAGGGGGGGCACTTCCCAGCGCATCCTAACCAGGAAGCTCTGCAGCATGCAAAGGTTGGAAAATGAAACAAGTTCACTACATGCTTATAAGCTACAGGACCACCTGTAGCAAAGACCAGGGCTTTCAGTATCAGGATATAATAAATGTAATGCCAATTCCAGCTTCCACAGGAGGTAATGAGCACTTCGCAGCTTACTCTGAGAACAAAGGGACACCTCACAGGAGAGAGGGGAATCGACATAATTGTTGCTCAGTCCTTGCTTGCTGAGCAGTGACCACCGTTGCAGGGTGTGAGAGCTCTTTCTCAGCGTTAACTCCTCAGCTGTCCTCACGCTACTACCAAGAGTGAAAGGAGGGACTGAGGATTACACTGGAATCTGTGTGAAGCAACAGAGGCACAAAAACGTCTCCATTTACATGAATTTGACAAAGAAACAGAAAAAGAAAAGACCCTTGTTTGCAGTGCACAGCAATTCTTCCTACTCCCACTATAGGCAGGAGTCCTGAGGAACAGAGAGGAAATTCCAGGGTGAACAGAATGTTCCATTCCTCCCACCCCTGAATCCTTCAAGACTTTGTGGGCCTGGCCCAAGGGAATGCCATCAATAAGTGCAACTGAATATTTTTAAAAGGCCGGCTGTTGCTCTGCAGGTTTGTTTTTCTAGTGTTTACCCTGAGTGTTGCAATTGCAAATATCAAACTGATCCTGCCTATAGTGAGGATGTAAGCCCATGTGTTCATCTGAGCAGGATGGAACTCACCAGTCAGGCCCAGGTGAGCGGGGACACTGATGAGAAGGGCAGGGCAGGGCAGAGTGGTCTTGAGGAAGCCATCGTTCATATTCTTTAAGAGGGTTATTTAGCTGCAGATGTACCTGCAGGTATTATAATATGGTGATAACACCTTTCTTGGTGGAATTTTAAGTCTATTAAAAGCAGTGAATAAATCATGAGCTCATTGGAGAAGATATTTGCCAATTAACAAGTAGCAGCTGTTTTTCTTTCTTTATAAGGGCCCAACTGATTAAAATTGTATGCCTCATTTAAGCAAGAATCTCGTGTACTTTACCTGGGGGGAAAAAAAAGGCTGTGCATTCTTTATTCAAACAAAGTGCATGCCTCTGTGATTCATTAAAACACTCTCAAACTGAATGCAAATTATCACCACACAGAAGCATTTGCACTTGCTCTGTATCATGTGCACATTTTCAGTTCTTTGTTTAGCATGATCTGCCTCCTTAGGAGAATCTGCTTTGGATATTATAAATATATAACAATAGCATAAGGGAACTGCAGCCAGCCCGCAGAGCCAAGAGCCTTCCCCAGCTAGGAGGAGGAGGACACCTGATCCTCACCAACCAGTCCAGCCCCCTGGAGCTGAGAAGGCTTCCTGGCTGCAGGCAGTGATGCTATTATCTGGCAGTGAAATGGCCAGGATCACTCCCCCAACACACACACACACACACCCCTGGTCACCACCACACACTCATCCTTGCAGGAGGCCTCATCTAATTAGTCATGGAAACCATGGGGCTGTAAGGACAGACGCCTTGCACCAGCTCTCCATGGCTGCCTCTGGAGCCAGCTCAGTGGGAAGAAGGCACATCTGGCCCACAGGCACAGCCTGATATGGTTTGGCTGTGTCCCCACCCAAATCTCATCTTGAATTGTAGCTCCCGTAATTCCCATGTGTCATGAGAGGGACCTGGTGGGACGTAATTGAATCATGGGGGCGGGTCTTTCCCATGCGGTTCTCATGATAGTGAATTAAGTCTCATAAGATCTGATGGTATTATAAAGGGAAATTCCCCTGCACATGCTCTCTCTTGCCTGCCACCATGAAGACATGCCTTTCCTTCTTCTTTACCTTCCACCATGGTTATGAGGTCTTCCCAGCCATGTGGAACTGTGAGTCCATTAAACCTATTCCTTTATAAATTACCCAGCCTCAAGTATGTCTTTATTAGTAGCATAAGAACACACTAATAAACAGCCCTTCCTAAAAGAGCTCCAAATGGTATGCCAACCCCATGTAAACTCAGGCCAGGAGGGCCAAAAGCCCCTGCCCCGGCTTTGATGTGCTATTAAGAGGATGCTAGAGACCACCTGAAGCCCACCATGGAAGGATGCAGAACCAACCATATTCACCCTCACGTGGAAGGTTCGGGTGAACTCTCACTGGCCAGTGGAAAACTAATACATCTCCCAACAAACGTAAATGAAACCTGAGAAAATCAGTGTTTCTTTTCATACTCTTAATTCTGCCACTGGTCCTTAATTTTCACCCATCCATCCATCAAGGATCTTCTTTTTTTAGAGAAAGGGTCCTGCTCTATTGTCCAGGCTGGAGAGTTCAGTGGTGCCACCATAGCTCACTGCAGCCTTGAACTCCTGGGCTCAAGCGATCCTCCTGCCCAGGCCACAGGCACACACGCTGACTTATTTATTAAGGATCTCCCACAAGCTAAAGATGGCCAACCCACCACCCACCCTTTTGGAGCCCGCAATGTAGGTGGGAGACCAAAAGGTAGACAAACACTTAAGAGAAGATGCAAGAAGTGTTCACAGAGGTGGGGAATACTGCTCTGTACCTGGGGAGGAGGGCGAGCATGTGACAGAGGAGGGGAAAGCTACACGAGGCATCGCCCCCACGTGCTTGCCCATGGAGCAGACTCAGTGAGCACAGCAATGAAGTGAGTGCTCCAGGGAGGAGGGCAGAGGTGGGGGTCTGCGGAGTGGCAGAAGGCCTGTGGGCGGTGGGGACAGCAAGAGGATGGGAGGGAACAGAAAGGTAGCCTGGGACGGCATCCTGGCTGGGGTTGCCCGGAGAGTCTCTGTTCATACGCCTGGCTCCCTTTGCCACCTCTTCCTCCTACCCCTTCTCCTGCACGCCCTCTGCCTTCCTTCAGCACACAGAGCTCACGTTCTGCCGTCTTTGCTTTCTCGTAAGAACCCGAGAGGTAAGTACGTTCCATATGACAGCAAATGTTCTCAGCACTGCCGGATGAAGGAACAAGCCCTCTTTCTTAACCTGAATCCCCAGAGTTGACCATTTCACATCAGAAGTCTCCTCTGAAATTGTGTTTTTCACAGTTAAACTCCCAGTTTGCTAAACTCAGATCCTGTCCCCTAATGCCAGGTCTGCAACTGAAGGTACCACAGCTCACAAGCTGAGTTAACTTCAGTCTACACAAAAATTGTCATGAAGAAATGCCTAAAGGACACAGCTGAAAGCCACAGAAAGCACATACCTCCAAGCCAAATGCTACCTGGACTAAAACGGAAAACAGCTTTACTCGCAAAGGCAGGCTTCCTTCGTGCAGCTGAAAAATTACTCACCTGTGTTTTCAGTGGGTGGGCCGTGGAGAACACTTGTGACCATCCTAATTTTTACAATGTTCTTGCTCAGAGATGGTCCTGGACACAGCATCTTTAAAATGCTTTAAAATACCAACCTCAGAAACAACCTTAAAACTCAGCTGGCTGAAGGGCTCAGAGGTCTCCATGTGGGGCTCTCCCTTGCGGGGTTCTCCATGGATGCAGCAGCACTGTTCGTTCTCCCTCACTCACCATGACCCCAGGAATCGGGTTTGTGTATCGAGTTAAGACGCACACCCTGGGGTTGTCTAAAATGGACAAGACGCTGGATGGAGCTGCTTGCCCGAGGACGCTCAGGCAGGCGGCCTGCTTTGCTGCATGGGGACGCTTAGGCTTACCCAGCCCCCATCCCTGTGGCCCGTTTCCTAAGAAAGGTGACTCTACCCTTTTGTGCTGAATGGCTACTGACAGGACCGTTTTGGCACAAAAATAGATCTCCCAGTTTGTGAAAGCAGAATTAGACTTCCCTGACATTACAAGTATGGCAAAGGCCCAACTAGTAAATACTGTTGCAGTGTTTAAAAATGGAAATGGTATCATTCCTGCTTCTGGTAAGGCCGAACAAGAGGCAGAATATTTTCATCTCTAAATTGCTTGTCATTTCCATTGATCTAGAGACAGGTGAGCATGGAGAGGCTGAATACTCACTGGTCGTAGACACTGAGACGAGTGGGCTGTACTCACACTCCCCAGAGGGGCTGGTGACCTTCAGGCGAAATCTGTACAGCGTCCTTGGTTCCAGACCTTCAACAACATGCTTCGTTGCATATCCCCTAGACAGGAGGAGACAAACATGCTGACAACACCAGGTAGCTTAATCTGCACTCTCTGATAAGACACGAGAAGAGCAGGTGGAAGTGATGTTCCATTTCCAGGACACAGCTGATGGATCCTGCTTTGCTGAACTCCTAGAGAATGAAGGACAAGTCCCACATGGCACCTCTATCCCTACCCAGCAGGTGCCCTCTGTCCCATAGGGCCTAGTCTGGGGCCTGACACATAGCCAGCATGCCGTTTTGTACTTTGGAGAAATAATCACGTTAACTGTGACATTTGTCCTCAAGTGACAAAGTTTTATGTTTGAAAGATAAGACAGGCAGTCAAATTGTATATATGTAATTTTGAAGTGGGGGCCATCTAGTGGTGGGGGCTGTGAGGCTAATACATGGCTGCATAACTATTGCCGGCAAAATACCACTGCAGGGAAAGGACTGAAGAAGTCACATGCAAGATTGCTCGCAGCCCATGAGCAACTTCCAGTAGAGCTGGGAGCTCAGGCAGCACACAGAAGACAATGCTAACATCATGCCCCATGGTCAAGTTCATCTTAAGAATGTTTGTGGGAAATGGATGCTGAGCACTTCTGGGATAGAAATCTGATGAGAGACTCACGATGGAAATCCACACACCTCCAGAGGGAAGCAGGACTGAATCTAAACATTTGCAGCCTGCAAAATGAGCACCAAGAAATGCAGGTAGGTAGTTTGCCTGGCTGCTCAGAAGATGCTGGGACCCAGCGCAAGTGCTAAGATAGGACCCCACCCTCTGCTTGTGAGGCGGGTCCCAGGAGCCTGGCTTTGAGTGGCATGCATTCTACAATATCAGGTCTCCAAAAGTTGACAGAGCTGTACATATTTCCCAATATTACCCAAAACCTCTATGTTACCCATTTCTCCGTTCTGCCAACATTCTTCTTATCTGACTAAACTCCATGTATCCCTTTTCAAATCCTATCTCAAAATTTTTCTTTTCTTCTACTCAAAGGCTTGGTTTTCGAGAGGGGTATGTGTGTCATTTCCAGCTCTTACTTCTTTCCTGCTTCAACACTTAATCCAGTTCTTCTTCTCCTCCCTTGGACCATTCTCCATAGCTCCTTAGATGCCAAGGTTACCACTGTTTCCCTCCAGATTTTTTTTCCTGTCTCTAGTTTTTACTTTTGTTCTCAATAGATCCTCCAAAGATACCACAACCATTCTTTGGGATTCACAACTAATTTTTCAAGGATGTTTATGTGCAACTAAATATTTATACATCGATTCCATTCCACACAACTCAACAAGTATATCTAGTGTATCTAGCGCCCATTATTTGCAAGGTGTTGGAACAGGCTGGGATGCAGCCCTGCACCAGCTCAGGGCCAAAATGAACCTGTCAACACTAAGTTGAACCCAACTTCCTACTGATGGGGTGGCAAGAAGAGGGGCAATCAAGGACCGTGAAGAAGGGACAGCTGAGCAAGGGTGAAATGACAGTGCTAGAGTTAGTATCACTAATAAACACCTGAAAACCTGCCTTCAGATCTGGGTCACGTGGGTGAGCTAACACCTCACCTAATCATCAAACAGCCTTGCCCACTCACTCCCAGCCCCCACCGGATTCTTTCCCCCGAAGGATGAGGCACGGCACTAAGTGTGTGGCTAAAGAACAGACCCAACACTTGCCCTAGAGGGAGGAGTATTCCCAAAGGAGAACTCAGAAGGTCTTCTCAGTTCCTTCCGCCAAACTCATCCATCAAACAAGTAATTCTCCCACTGAGGAACAGGCATGGGGCAGGAACAGGTACTTGAGAAACAGGTACAGGGCAGAGGGAGTGAGGTGCCAGGAGAGTGTCCTCTGGTAGAGGTATCTCTGATGTCAAGTGAGAAATGGCATAAAGGACTTCCATGACAGACAGGCAGATGTCTTCCAGGCGGTCTGAGAAAGGACTTCCCAGGAGGGTCGAAAGAACACACAACGCCTCGGAAAGTCAGATTCTAGGTGCTCTCACTGTGGCGAGAGTCAGGGTGCAGAAGAGTCTGGCACGTCCAGGAAAGAGGTGCCTCCGTGAAATCTGGAGACAACTCTAATATCATAACTCTAACTCTAACATCTAACAGAATCTTTTTTTGAAAACTGAAAAACATTTACAAAGACCTTCTTCACTTGATGTTTCTGTCCTTTGTTAAAATGTGAAATTTCAAGGTAAAATCAAATACTGAACATTCATTGATCCTGTTTTTGCATCACAAAGTTACTTCAGGCACCAAATCTAAATGACTTCTTGGGTGTAGCACCAGCAGAACCAAGAAAAAGACTAAGCACATTAAAGCACCTCTGACCACGTACGTGTCTCTGCCTCCCTGCTCTGTGCGCTGGTGGATTCAGCCTCCTAACCAACATCATCTTTGCTAGAAACACATTTCTCTTCACCTAAAAGAAGCCAAATGAGCTGGAAGTCAAGCTGGCCTCCACAGTCACTACCATCCCTGCAGGAACATGCTCCTCTCCCCACAGAGTTAAGGTCGAGTTCCTCTCCCCTTGAACAGGACGGAAAGTGGTGGAAGTGAATCAGTACAGCTCTGGCTCTGGGTCTTAACATTCCCGGAAGTTTCTGCTTCTCCTTGCTTGGAAGCTGGCCACCATGTAAAGAAGTTCAACTTTCCTGTTGGAGAAAGAGGCCACCTAGTAAGACAGAGTCAGTGGAAGATCCAGACCACAAAGGAGATGAAGAAGCCCAGCCAGCCTCCTATTGTCCTGGCTGTCCCAGCTGATGCATCTCACATGGGTGAAGCCATTTGGTTCTTCCAGCCCCAAGAGAGCTGCAACCGTCAAGACCACATGGCGCAGAAACAAGTCATCAACACTCTAGCCAAATTACAGATCATCAGCAAACACATGACTGTTTCTGCTGCAAGCCGCTCAGTCTGGGGCTGGTTCGTTATGCAGCAGGTAACTGAGATAGTATGTATCAACAAAAAAGAAACTATAGAAAGACAATGAAGAAACAAAGCCAATGGCATTACAAAAACTTTTCCATCAAGAAACCAAGAAGTAGATAAGTGTTAAAAATCGATATAAATACACTTACCATAAAAGTAAAAGCTCTAAAACCAAGATAAATATTCAGAAAAACCACCAGAGCTAAAAAGTAATAATTTTTTAAAAACTGAAATATATCAGCCTGGCACAAAGGAGTCTTATGAGTAGGTAGATTTTGATGTTAAATGAAAATACGTCCATGAATACTTAGATATTTGGGTCACAGAAACTGAGCCCTCAACAATGTGTGGCATCTGAAAAGACCTTTGCCTGCAATCCCAGCACTTTGGGAGGCCGAGGCAGGTGGATCACGAGGTCAGGAGATCGAGACCATCCTGGCTAATATGGTGAAACCCCGTCTCTACTAAAAATACAAAAAAACTAGCCGGGCGAGGTGGCGGCACCTGTAGTCCCAGCTACTTGGAAGGCTGAGGCAGGAGAATGGCGTGAACCTGGGAGGCGGAGCTTGCAGTGAGCTGAGATAGCGCCACTGCACTCCAGCCTGGGCGACACAGCGAGACTGCGTCTCAAGAAAAAAAAAAAAAAAAAAAAAAAAAAAAAAAAAAAACAACAACAAAAAAAAAAAAAAAAAAAAAGAAGAAGTTCAATGAGAATCTAATGGCCAAGCCTCACCGGAATTCAGTGCAAGGTGTCAGAGACTTAGCATAGTATTAGACCAAAACAAAACCAGAAGTGGTCCCAATAAAATCCAATATTGCTAAATATCATAAGGTCACCCTGAAGCAAACAGTACCTCCATAACCCCTGGAAAGGGAAATAACACAACTGTGTTAGAAACCAGATGTTACCGAGCACACTTGTGAAAGGCTGAAGACTCTTGCATCACTAGAGATGGCTCCAAAGAGGACAAAAGACACAGCAGGGACCCAGGACACAACTGCCCCCCAGGGTACTCTACAGTGATGACAATGCAGGCACAGGGAGGACTCACAAGGGCAGTTCATTGAATCCATGGAGAAGCACAGCTTTACCTAGACATGACAGCTGAAAAAATAAATGAATCTTAGAACTATTTCCACAGTAGAGGAAAGTCTACAAAAATGTGAAGCATAGCCTTGTTTTTGTTATCAGTCAACAAGCAAATGTTTGATGCAAGAGCTGAGCAAATATGAAACATAAGAAGCTAAATATTGAAAAGCCCAAAGACTCAGTTACCAGACTTCCCTTTCTTCTCTCCACTCCCTCCTTCAGAACTCCAATCCAGCCTCATGTTGATGACTCTGGAGTCTGTCTCTCCAACCCAGACCCCTTTCCCTGGCCCTTGACATCCCCAACTGCCTCCTTGACATCTTGGCTTGGATGTCTGATAGTTTCAAACTGATCTACTCCACCCACAGTCTTCCCCGTCTGTTATTATAGTTGCTCAGGCCAAACCCTGGGTGCCTCCTGTGAAAGGCTGGATTGTTGTTTAGAGACACGAGGTGCCCTCCCCCAGGGATCCTACCTCCTCGCCCTACTGAACTCAGACATGGCTGCATGTCTTGCTTTCAGCAATGAAGTAGACGCAGAAGTGAAGTATGTCATTCTGGGTGGAAGCTTCAAGAAACAGCGTGCCATGCTCTCTCCCCTGCTACAGTGACTGACAATGTTCAGGCAGAGGCTGCTGCATTGGCCTGGGCTGCAGGAGGAGGACAATGCAGGATGGAGCCCTGGCCCAGCCACGGTGGGCATGGTGTGTGGGAGGGAATTGCTGCTGCCATAAGCCACTGAGACTGTGACACTTATGCTTCAGGCAGCATCACTTGGCCTGTGCTGGCTGTCACATATCCCTTGACCATCCTCTCTCTCACATCCCACATCCAGTCCACCAGCAAGTTCTTAAATCCATCTTTAAAGCATATCCTGCATCGTCCCACTTTCCACCGTTGTGCTGTCTCCCACCTAAACTGTTTCAAAAGCTTCCCCATCAGTCCTCCCTGCTGCTTGCTGCCTGGCCGCCCTACGGCCTATTCCCAACTCAGCAGCCAGAGGGATCCTTGTAAAACACAAGCCAGATCACACCTCTTCTCAGCTTCACAATCTCCAGTGGCTTTCCCCGCCTCTCTCAGAGTAAGCCAGAGTTCTCCCAATAACCTTCAAGGCCCAGGCAGTGACCTCTCATGACCCAGCTGCCCTCACCCCCATTACTTTCCTCCTTGTTCCCTCTGCTCCTCAACGCTCCTGGGACCCGCCGAGTATACTCGCACCACCAGGCTTTCTCACCTGCCCTTTGCTCTGTCTGTGAGTTTCTTCCCCCCTATAGTGGCAAGGCTCCAGGTATCCTTGCTTCAGACCTACTCAGAAGTTACCTTCTTAGTGAAGACTTCCCCACCTCTACCCCAGGCCCTCAATTTTTCCTGTGCTGCTGCCCCTTAGTACATATTGCCTGCTGACTACCTATTTTTACTTATGTATCTTATTTATTGTTTGCCTTCCTCATCACGAGGGAGGAATTTTTTCCCCAGTGCCATATCCCCAGCATCCGGAGCAGTGTATGACACATGGCAGACAATAATACATGCTGATGGAATAAATTTAATGCATGGCATGGGCAGCAATGATCACAGGAATTTGGGGCAGACAGTATCGGGTAGTAAGGAGAACTTCTCAAGTGGAGGTAAAATCTGACCAGGGCAGAAGAAAGAATAGGGTGAGAGGGGAAAATCTGTCCAAACAGGGAAAAAAAAATGAACACACATGCAGAAAACATCACGGCATATTCAAAGGACAGTAGGAAATCTGATTGGAGGGTTTGTGCTGAGAAATAAGAGGCAGCAAGAAAGGCAGGTGTGGGGAAGCTGTGAAAGGCATTAAATGTTAGTCTAAGGAATTTGGCCTTTATCCTTCAAGCAATGGAGACCCACCAAAGACAATTTGACAAAAGAAAGATTAAAATGGAAATTAGCCCGGCAAGGTAGAACGATGAGGAGGAAAAAAAAAAGGAATAAAGTCAACTCCTTCCATGAGAAAATACACTGGGCAGGTGTAGGAGCTGCGGATCCACCAATGAGCTACAGGGAAATGGAGCTTACATCCTGCAGGGGAAACCCCCAGCTAATGAGGGAAAGCACAGACGCAATTCTACAAATGGAGAACTCAGTAACTGACTGGCTGTGAGAAGCCATGGAGGAAAGCCCAAGTCAAAGACAATGTCATTGATTCCAGATAGACTGATGACTGATGGGAACAGAAATTGACAAATCAAGAGGAGGTTCTTAAATCCACAATCCAAATATCAGGTATTCCAGATAATCACTTTTTACAAGAAAAGCATTTGCTAGTTTTAAGGCCATGCAGAGAAACAAATAAGGAAGCAAAAGAGGTCAAGATTAATACAGCCTAATTCTGCCACCTAGCGTCAAGATTTGTACTGTATAATTCTGCGAGAAATGCAGGCATTTCCCCATTGTCCTTAGAGCGGGGACCACAGATGTCACTGCCAGACCCACAATGCCAGGTTGTCTTTGGAGTGTGAGTGCGTTCTCCAGCCTGACAGCAACCAGGTCTCTGGGAAGAATGCAGACAACACAGACACACACCTCAGGCTGGAAGCCAGCACACGCAGCTATGGTTTCTCTAGCTGAGGCTGCCTACCTGGCCACCCAGGAAAGGAACAGCCAATGAAGAAAGAACGATTCAGGATGGCCCCACTCGCCTGCCCAAGCAGAACTTGTGGTGCTAAGGTGATGGGGGAAAGAAAGATGTCTTTTTCTTTCTCCAGAGAAATGCTTCTTACAATTCATGCTTTTAGATAGAAGCATACTTTCAATGAGTAAAACGACATGATTAAAACAATATTCGACTAGTTAGAACAGAACTATTTTTACATGGTTAACTACATTTCTTGTTTTTTTTTTAAGGTACAGAGAAATTTCTCAAATATCAGATACATTATCACTGAGGTAACAGTTGAAGTTGGAGCCTTCATATACAGATTACATATTTCTATATATTTTATATACACATACACACAAACATATCGATCTCTTCATGTCAGCGTTTGGATCACAATGCAAACTTGAGAGAAGGCCAGGAAAGTGACGGGCCTGGTCTGCATCTTGGCGGTATCAATGCCAGTATCCTGACTGTGATGCTGCACCATCGCATTCAAAGATGTTACCATAGGGAAATGGGAAAAGGTACAGTCACCCTGTATTATTTCTTACAGCTGGGTATGAATCTATAATTATTTCAAAATTAAAAGTTTACCTAAAAACCATATTTGTATCTCATTTTTGATATTCCTGAATCACAAAATAGTCATTTTGCATTTTTCAAGTGGTAAATCTATCAAGGGGGAGAAATAAGTCAGAGATGATATGAAGACTGAGAAGAAAAACATAACTTTTTTTTTTTTTTTTTTTTGAGACAGAGTCTCACTCTGTCACCCAGGCTGGAGTGCAGTGGCACAATCATGGCTCACTGCAGCCTCCACCTCCCAGGCTCAAGTGATCCTCCCACCTCAGCCTCCCAGATAGTTGGGACTACAGGCACAAGCCACCACACCTGGCTAACTTTTGGATTTTTTGTAGAGATGGGATTTTGCTATGGTGCCTAGGCTGGTCTTGAACATCCAGGTTCAAGGGATCTGCCCACTTCAGCCTCCCACAGTGCTGAGATTACAGGCATGAGCCACCATGCCTGGCCAAAAATGACTTCTTGGTTACTCCTGGTGGTATTTGTTCATGCAAGAAGCATGTGGAGGGCCTGCTATATAACAGCCAGCACTGTCAAGGAACCGGCTGGAGCGCTAAGCAGGCAGGAGTCTTATTTGTCTCTCGCCGAGTTTAATACTGGGTGGGGAGGCAGGAAATGAACAAATAAAAGAAGTAAACAAGGAACAAGGTAAACAAACTCAGCAAACAAGTAAACAAGTAAAACAAACCCAACAGAGCTAAATGCTATGTGGCATACAAAACAAGGTTCTGAGCTACAGGAGGCCTGCATGGAAGGATGGCTACTTCAAATGGCCTTCTGGGGGCGTGGGGTTGTTTCATCTGAGACTGGCATGGTGTGAAGGAACCAGCTGTATGAAAACAGAAGGAAATGCATTCAAGACAACAGCAACAAGCAAGACCCTGTAATGGGAACCGGCTTGGCCTGTCAAGGCTGAGAGGCAGCCAGCGTGGTATAAGAGAATTGACAAGGTGACAATGGTATGACATGAGATCAGAGAAGCTGGCCAGGGCAGACCATGCGGGGCCATCCTACGTCAGGGAACACAACAGCCTGATGGGAAGCTCACCTAATTTCATCAAGCTATCGTTTGAGTGTGTCTCTGCATTCTGGATTTTAAATACATATCATTAAAATATTTCAGAAGTCAAAAGAAGCTCTCAAAAGGTACAGAGGTTTAATTTCAAAGTTACTGCTAATGCCTATTTTCCAAAAATTGTAATTCATAAAAGAGCATGAATACAAATAATGCTGACTCATTCTTTAATTTGAAATAAGAAGTGGCTTTTTAAAGACAACAGAAATCATTCCAGCTAATCAGGAAGTCAAGGCAAAGTGGCAAGCAATTCAACACTGCACCTACGTATAAATGATACCGTAAGAGTGCATTTTGGGGTCTTCTTCTTCAATCGAGAACCTGAACCACTGCTCCTGAGGTCCTTGGCGTTTGGCTTTCTTTTCCAGATCCCAGTATAATTCAATGCTGTGATGAGTCACTTTGCCCACGACAGGTGGATGAGGCTTTGAGGGTGGCGTGATTTCTAAAAAAAGAATGATACCGAATTTCAGGACCCAGTTTCCATAAGGAAGAGAGACCAGTCGAGTGGACTACAGCTGCTTGGTGATCGAGCTATTTTTCTGAGCATAAGGCACATATATGAGCATACCTCCCTGTTGCTTAAAGAACCCCTGAAAAGCTCGAGATACAAAATTCAGCCCATGTGTGAGCTACCACAGTCTTCAACAAGCATGTATTGTACCATGCCCATCAATATCATGCCACCCACTGACCCTTCCAAAGGGATGCTTAACTTATCAAACTAATGAGGTTGTACTTGACCTGCTGGAACACAGTTTGCTTCTATTAATCCTTCACTGACTGGCTAACAAAGCCAAGAGATGAATGCTCTATCTGATTCAAATATCTGGAACATAGATGACAAAGGGTTGACATCTATGCTGTATAAACAGTCCTCAGAAACTAACCAAGAATAAGGGCCCAAAGTTAGTAACAAACCTAGCAAAAGATGAGCAGCACACAAAAGAGCAAAAACAAATTGCCAAGGTGATATCTGGAAAGATGCTCATATCCCCTAGTGCTCACAGAAATTGGTAACAATGGGGTATAACTTGATATCCAGTCAGAAACTGAAACATTTCATAACTTTCAGAAGTCACAAGATAGGGAGAGGATATTCTCATGTGCTGGTTGTAGGGAAATATGAATTGTGGCCTTTTTAGAGGGCAATACGGAAGCATCTATTAAAATTAAAAATACACATGTCCCCCTGTCCCACCATCCACCCTTCTGCAGAAATCAGAGCATAAATACACACGAGAGTGAGTGGCCAAGATGGCTGACTAGAAGCAGCTGGTGTACCTGGCTCTCATGGAGAGAAACAGAAGGAGCAAGTGAATACAACACCTTCAACTGAAACAGCCAGGTACTCGCACTGGGACTAATCAAGGAAACAACTTGACCCACAGAGAACAAAGCAAAGCAAGACAGGACGATGGCCCACCAGGGGGCAACACGGAGCCAGGGGATCCTCCCCTGCCCAGGGAAGCAGTGACTGAATGGGCGACCCAGAAACCACACTTCTCCCATGGATCTCTGCAAACCTCAGGTTAGGAGATCTCCATGCAAACCTCTCTCTACCAGGGCCTTCCGTCTTCAGTCTGACAGAGCTGCGGGGAGTCTTGGCAGAGCAGCCGCTCAGGCATGCGTGGAGACCCTGGAGCCTTAGCTACTCAGGCTTTGGAGCAAAAGTAGCCGTAGCTCTGGCAAAGTGAGAGGTGAGACTCCCGTACATACCCTTAGGAAAGATGATGAATCCAGGGGGCTGCGCAGCAACAGCCCGCAGGCCCCACTTCCAATGCACCTCACGAGATGAGACCCCACTGGCTTAGAATTTCAGCCAGCTTCCAGTAGTGGCATTGCACCTCCCTCAGAAGGAGCTCCCAGGGAGAGGGACACGCCACCAGCTTTGCTGTTTGGGCACCTTAGCCATTCCAGCCTTCAGGCTTTGGAGAGTCTGAGCCAACACAGGGCAGAAGGGATCCCCCCATACAGCATAGCTGCTCTACTGAAACGTGGCCAGACGGCTGCTTTAAGCAGGTACCTATCCCGTTCCCTCAATGGGCAGAACCTTCCAACTGGGGCCTCCAGCCACCCCTGCCCAAGCTGTCCATCTGACAGATGGACGTTGAATTTCCCCTGGGATGGCACTCCCAGAGGGAGAGGTGGGCCACCATCTTTGCTGTTCAGGTGCCTTAGTCGTTCCAGCCTTTGGGCCTCATAGTATCCGAGGCGATCAGGGGCTGAAGCGGACCCCTAGCACAGCACAACTGCTCTACCGAAACGTGGCCAGACTGCTTTAAGTGGGTCCCAATCCCATTCCTCCTCACCAGCTGGGACCTCCCAACCAGGGTCTCCAGCCACTTCCTACAGGTACCTTTGGCCCGACACCAGGTCCATACCTCCCTGGGACAAAGCTCCCAGAGGGAGGGACAGGCTGCCATCTTTGCTTTTTCTCAGCCTTCGCTGGTGACACCTCCAGGTTCTGGAAAATCTGAGGTGACTAGGGACTGGAGCAGGCCCCAAGCATACCACAGCAGCCCTATGGAAAAGTGGCCGGACTGTTCCATGGGGGCCTGTTCCCATATCTCCTCACTGGACAGGTCCTCCAGGCCTGGGCCTCCAGCCACCACTGCCAGAGCTATGGAGCCAGTACCAACTCAGCAACTCCCTGAACAGAGCCTCCAGGGGCAACTGAGAGCCTCTCTCCCACTACTTCAGCAGTGGAACTGCCCTTGCCACCCTCAAACTAACAAAGGAGCAAAGACTCTAAGAGTGTCTTATCTACACCTCCAATAAGCTACAGTCGACCCCAGGAGAGGCAGCCAGTCCGTCTCCCACAGGTTCCGCACCCCCGCTCCCCCGCATGGCTCATCAGCAGACAGGGAACCCCTGGCTTGGGCACACAGCACAAACCCTCCATCTTGGGCTGACTGCACTGAGTGATTGCTGACCCACGTCTCTCTGAGGTGGAGCCCCCAGGAGTCAAGCAAATGACCCCTGGCCACAACCCCTGCTAAGATCTCTTCCTGTGCTGCCTCTAAGCTGGGGAAGGAACATAAACACTGAGATCACCCCAGAACTGCAGTGGGCATTCCAGGAGTGCCAAGGAGAGCCAGCACTCAAGTGGGAGAGGAACGCACAGTTTCAGAGCACTAGAAAGGGAACACGGCGGAAACTGAGGAAACAGGAGAGTCACACAACCAAGCAAGAGTCTAGCAACTGACCAGTACACCTAAGTGCCACCTAGTGGATCACACCCCAAAGCTTCAACACCAAAAATGCCTCATTAACATACCCCCCTCTGAAACCAGAGACAACAAGTAAGCTTCAAATAAAGACCCTACACAAAGCATCAGCCCAGTGAAAACATCCAGAAAAGAAGTCTGCTGACTGTGCTCAATCTACATTAAAGGAACGCCCACAGAGATGAGAAAGAACCAGCAAGAACTCTGGTAACACTCAGATGACCAGAGTGTCATATGTCCTCCAAATGGCCACACCAGTTCTCCAACAAGAGTTCTTACCCAGGCAGAACTGGCTGGAATAAAGGAAACAGAATTCAGAACATGGATAGGAACAAAGATCACTGAGATTCAGGAGGATGGTGAAACCCAATCTAAGGAAAAGAAGAATCACAAGAAAATGATACAGGAGCTGAAGGATAGAATAGTCAGCATAAAAAAGAAACTAATGGGTCTGACAGAGTCGAATAATATAAAAATTTTACGATCGGTTGCGGTAGCTCACTCCTGTAATCCCAGCACTTTGGGAGGCTGAGGCAGGTGGATTGCCTGAGGTCAGGAGCTCGAGGCCAGCCTGGTCAACATGGTGAAACCCCATCTCTACTAAAAATACAAAAATTAGCCGGGTATGGTGGCAGGCACCTGTAGTCCCAGCTACTCGGGAGGCTGAGGCAGGAGAATTGCTTGAACCTGGGAGGCGGAGGTTGCAGTGAGCCAAGATTACGCCACTGCACTCCAGCCTGGGTGACAGAGTGAGAGACTGTCTCAAAAACAAAAACAAAAAAGAATTTTACAATGCAATCACAAGTATTAACAGCAGAATAAACCTAACTGAGGAAAGAATCTCAGAACTTGAAGACTGGTTCTCTGAAATAGGTCAGGCAAAAATGAAAAAAAAATTTAAAAAAAAGGAATGAATAAAACCTCTGAGAAGAATGGGATTATATAAAGAAGCCAAATCTACAAATCACTGGCATCCCTGAAAGGGAGAAGAAGAAAGCAAACAACTTGGAAAATTCCAAGATACCATCCATGAAAACTTCCCTAACCTTGTTAGGGGGGCCAACAGTCAAATTCAGGAAATACGGGGAACTCCTGCAAGATTCTACACAAGAAGATCATCTCCAAGACAGATAATTGTCAGGTTTTCCAAGGTTGAAATGAAAGAATGTGAAAGGCAGCTAGAGAGAAAGGGCAGGTTACCTACAAAGGGATCCTCATTAGGCTAATAGTGGACCTCTCAGCTGAAACCCTATAAGCCAGAAGAGATTAGAGGCCTATTTTCAACATTATTTTTTTAAAAAAATCTTCAACGAATAATTTCATATCCTGTTAAACTAAGCTTCCTAAGTAAAGAAGAAACAAGATCCTTCTCAGATAAGCAAATGCTGAGGAACTTCATCACTAGACCTGCCTTATAAGAGATCTTGGAAGGAACAGTAAATATAGAAAGACTGCCACCAGCTAATACAAAAATCCACTTAAACACACAGACCAGTGTCACTGTAAAGCAACCACACAAACAAGCCAACATAATAACCAGCTAGTGACAGGATCAATGACAGCAGCAGCTAATGACAGGATCAAACAGCACAATGGCAGGATCAAATCCACACATATCAATACTAATCTTGAATGTCAACAGGCTAAATGCCCCACTTAAAAGGCATGGAATGGGAGAAAATGTGTGCAAACTATGTATCTGACAAAGGTCGAATATCCAGCATCTATAAAGAACTTAAACACATTTACAAGAGAAAAATAACCCCATTAAAAATTGAGCAAAGGACATAAACAGACACTTCTCTAAAGACGACATACATGTGGCCAACAAGCACACGAAAAAAAAAGATCAATATCACTGATCATTTGAGAAATGTGAATCAAAACCACAAAGAGATGCCATCTCACACCAGTCAGAATGGCTATCATTAAAAAGTCAAAAAATAACAGATGCTGGCAAGGTCACAAAGGGAACCCTTATACACTGTTGGTGGGATAAATTTGTTCAACCATTGTGGAAAGCAGTATGGCAATGCCACAAAGAGCTAAAAGCAGAACTACCATTTGACCCCGCAATCCCATTACTGGGTATATACCCAGAGGAATATAAAGCATTCTACCATAAACACACATGCACATGAATGTTCACTGCAGGACTATTCACAATAGCAAAGACATGGAATCAACCTAAATGCCCATTGATGACAGACTGGAT